CTGGGGAATTCTGGGAGTTGAAGTCCACATATCTTCAAGTTGCTAAGGTTGAGAAACACTCTAGACATACTAGAAAGGTTGTCCAGATGTCCATATACTGTTTTGCATAACACCATGCTGTTTTTTTATGCTTCTTTCCCTAGTTATATGAGCATTGTAGAATCCCTTCCAACATACGGAGTACATTATTATGCGGTCAAGGTGTGTACACTCTGAAAAATATTATTTAATTCATGAATTGATTGACCATGAACAATGACAACTGAAATCATTATTCCTTATTTATATGCAGTTCTGTTATGAAGGTTCTGACTGTTTTCCTGTGTTCAGATAAATAAGTAGCTTCAGTAACCTCATAGTGAAGTAGATTACACTGAAAAATTAGATACCTGAAATGCATAAGAGCGTACAAGTCATTATAACTGCTGAGAATTTAACTATATTCTATCTTACTTTTGATGGTCTTAGGCTTTTGAATGGCAGTGTAAAATAGTTGGTTTCTTGCACTATTCATTCAAACAGAACAGCCACTGGAGAACCTGGGCATTTCAGGGCACTTCCATGCTGCCATGTTCTCTGGTATTTCAAAAACAGCATGTAGATGAAACATGATTGTCTTCAGACCTGCTGACTTCAAAACACCGAGAACAGGGAGCAACAGTCACTGTCCCAAACTCCTGCAGGTTCTACAGCAACAAAAACTCCCTCAGACATTCACTGTACAAAAGATAAGTGAAATAAATCCCTCCCCCCGCTTCCATCCATGTCCTTAGTTCATGCTGTATGTATTTGTCTGTTCATATGCAAACCCGACCCCCCCCCCCAACGAGTTCCTATGAGAGGGAACTAAAAAAGCATCAAGTCATCGTTCTCCTTGAAAGACCTACAGGTCAGAAGTTGGTAGGCAAGGCAGGACAAGCCTTCCTGCTAATGGAGAAACAGACTGCTCACAGATTGCAGAGATTTGCACTGTTTATTTATTTTTTTTTTTTAAGGGTGTTTTAACAGTACTAAATATGTTACAGCTCCGGCAGAAATAAATCAGCTCAGCTGATAAACACTGAGATGGTGCAAGATCACAGAACTGCAGGGCTGATTCTGGAATGGTCAGGTTGGAAGTGCCCTTAGATGCTTCTGGGTTACAGATAATGTTGCCATGCGCAATTCATATCGTGGCTATCATTATTCTTTGGTCTCTGCATTGAGAATATCCAATTATTCATGGAACCCATTAACAGAACAGCATGCGCCAAATTCAGAAATCGTAATTTCTAAGAAGAGGGAAATATATTAAACAGTATAAGCTTCCATTGGAGAAATTCTTAGTTACCTGCAAAGTCACTGCTTTTCCACAATGGTCCCGAAACTAAAATGGGACCTCCAAGTGACATTTATATTATACTAGCAATAGCCCATTCATTTGGCCAAGGTCATTCTAGAATGTTTACTCAAAATTAGGTACCATTTACAAAAATCTATAAGGATGCAAACCATTGTTTAGCAGTTTCTCCCTTCAGGCAATACTCCTTTTAATGTTTCTGTTCAGTTCTATTCATGAATAGCAGGAGCGTCTATGAGGAGGGTCAAAAAAGTCAAGATGGCAGCTGCAATCATACAATCAAAATCCTGCCCCTTTTTATATGCACTTTACATGCAGTGCATGTAGAAAAGGGGAGGGGCTTCAGTCATACAGCCATGGACACCATTTTTACTTTCTTGACCTTCCCTATAGACACCCTTGTTGACAGAGACAACATCTCTATACAAGAATAAATTTTAAAAAGCAAAAAAGAATCACAATTCCAAGCTAACTCTCCAGTATCCAAAGGTTAAAACATTTGGGCTGCCAAGACATGTGTAAAAATAGTAAGTTATTTTACGTCTGTTTTATATTCCGTTCCTGAACCCTCTTCTGAATAGTATTAACTCAGGCATGTTTTTCTCCCATCATTCTAGGATAAGCAGGGAATTCCGTGGTGGTTAGGACTTAGCTACAAAGGAATCTTTCAATATGACTATCACGACAAAGTGAAGCCAAGAAAGGTAAGCAATGCCGTATGATGAAATGTCCCATGTTGTATATCGATGGAAAGTTTGAGTCTGAAGTCATCTTGATTTACAGAACTGTTGAAGAACTCCAGGGGCAACCACGTGACATTTTAAATGTAGTCACTGATCTTCTTCAGAAAGCAGTTCTGTCATCAGTGCTCAGCTATGTGGACCTCAAGTCACACATCCTCCTCCAGCAGCTTCTAGCACTGTGTATTGAAATAAATGTAACCTTTATGAGTAGGTTCATCCTATTTACCTCCACCTCTACTTTACCTGAAGGAAGTTTCCAATAATTCTTAGTCAATGGAGTCCTTCCTAACAATCAAGAAGCATGAAAAAAATAACTGCATCATAACTTATCGCTCCCTCTTTGATATAGTCCAAATGCCAATTTAAAGGAGAGAGAAAGGAACTTGTTACACATCTATAGTCCTTTCTTGTTTGAGTGAACGTAGCAGCCTTTGGTTGAGTCCTCAACCTTCAGGCATCAGGACCTACTTATCCTTCTGAGCCCCTGAAGAGTGAATATTTAGAAGTATTGCACCAAAATTTAGCTCCATTTAGTATAAGCTATGTGGCCCTTGAAGCATCCTTGGATGCTTTTGAAACAAGGGGTGGAGGACAGAGGTGACTTTGATGCTGTTGCACCTAAGGATGACTTAAGCCCTTCTCATTCATGAGCTGAGGATGAAATGAAGGTAATGTCGTGGCAGAAAAATGATATTGCTGGGGCAAATTTATGCAGTGGTTTGGTACAAGGGGGAAAAGCCCTTAAAAAGCAGCTAAGCAAATTGTGGATATGACCTCTTTCATAAAATAATTCATTGAGTATAAAATCCAGTGGCTTTTACTTGTATACAAGGTATCTGCAGTGGTGGCCATGACAGTGTGATCGAAGATCCACCTGTTTTTTTATGTGTGACGCACTAAAAGCCAGGCAGAGTTTCAATCACACCATCACTGATGCCATCTTGACTTTTTTGACCACATCCTGCAGAGACCCCTGAGGCAATTGCATTCCAAATCACAAGTGCAGGACCTTCCAAATCCTTTAGCCCCTCTCTCAAGCCCTTCAAAAGCATTGCCTGGGATTTTTAATACGATAAAAGGGCAGAAGACACTGGAAGTATTCATATTATCTGTATTTCAGTAATAATTTAATTGTTGACTTAAATTCAATCCATTCTCGATTTTGTTCTGTCGTGTCTTGCCTCCTGTTTTGCATACCTCTATTTTTTCTGCAGTATTTAAAATAATTGCACGGTCTTAGTATACATCGTGTCCTTTGGCTTCCAGTTATTTCTCAGACTATCTTTCTGCATTTAGAAAGGAAGTACTGTAAAATATTCTGTAGAATAAATAATACAAAAATGCTGTAAACAGAGTGGGGGGGGGGGACATACATCTCATTGTTTTCACTGATTTACCTTCTATTCATTGCCAAGACTAAAAGCAAAGTGAAAAAAATTACAATGGGAAAAAAATAACTTTAAAGGCCAACTGAAAATTGTGGAAAACTATACATGCCAAACTGAGAAATGTGTATCAGATACAGATAAAAACCCTTACTTGTCTGAAGAAAAAAATGAATAGAATGTAAATGTTTTCCCATGAGGTCATTCTAGACCATTTTTCCATCTAATTATATATTTGCCCCACTGAATAGCCGAGTTTTGTATCTTACAACTGAATTGTTGAATTGCACTGAATTCAAATTATTATTTTTTACTATTAAATTGCTCCAATAATTTGGTCAGGACCCTTCCTTAAAAGAAAGTAAGAAGATGAGAAAAGAGAAGAGCTTGGCTGGATTGTGGGGTTGTAGCAACTCATTTATATCCATTTCGATTCTGTGTTCTGCTGATGTCACTGGAAATGCAACTGGGCCTTTAAAACAAGAGGAAATGGTGAAGGAATTGAACTGAAATTTAGCTTTGGAAAAGATGAACTACTTGTCTGTAACATCTAAAGGGGTGTGGCCTGTTCTTTAACTCTATTTAAGACTGTATGACTCTTCCTCTGGTGCATTTCATAAGCGTTTGGCTCCAGGTGACATCCATGAACATCATGTCCATTTCATTTACTTGGTTGCTGTACAGAACCAGTTCTCCACTGCATTCTTCTTAAATGTTTTTCCAACTTCTGCATCAAAATTCCTGGAATTTCCTGGACATCCTAGCACTAAACAGATCCTATGCTGATTATCTTTTCTGAGACTAGCCAAGTAGGATAAGTGCAGCCACAACTGTAGGTATCGCACAATAATTGAAGTTAGAGAATGAAAGAGTACTTATAGCTACAGCTACATTTCACTGCAAATATATCCATATTTCTAGTGTCCCCCTGAGCAGAGCTAAGCTCCTGGTGACTACTTGGACATGTTGTTTTCTTGGCAACATTAGCTTTTAGCCATTAGCTTCTTTCAGGAATAAATCCTTACTGTGAAAGCATGGATCCCTAAGAAAAGCCCTTCTGATTGATTGATTGATTGATTGACTGAATGGTCCTTACTAAATCACGGTGTCTAAACTTACCTTGGAAAAGCTTAATGAAGAAGACAGTGATAACTATGTACCATTCTCCTTCCCTGAATAGTGAAAAATTAAAGGCAACCTTTGCAGGTGATCTGTTCTTTCAATCAACCTTTCAGGCTGACCTTGCATTTTAGAGACACTGAGTCAAGCCCCAAAGCATGGAGATCTTGTCCCAAAATAAACCTAGTCCTGGCAGCTTGAAATCTTAAACAAACTCCCCAGCTAGGGACCTAAACAGCTGCTCTTTACTTCCTTTTGCACATCCTCTTACTCAAAGATTAATTTTAGCCCTCAGTGCTGAGCTATTCAACAATCCCCCTTGTAAAGATCCCATCACGAAGAACATGAATGGCCCACCTCCATCTGCAAATACTGTAGGAATCAATAGGAGCTCACTTCAAAGCTTACCATTTCTTTTGTCCTGCAAGATGGGAAGGGGAATCTCCAGCTCCCTGCAGATCAAGAACAATAAATACCTGCTTCAGGCAATTTAGGGAGAGCAGATAAAAACTGCATTAGAAATACGTTCCGGACTTGAAGCCGCAGGTGAGTGCAAAAAGATAAAGCAGGGAGGTTGAAGTCCCAGGGACAATCTCGTCCTCCGGCTAGGCTTTGAATCTTAGAGGTTGAGCCATGTTTATTGACCTTCCAGTCACTGCACTGTTTATGCAATTCGCACTCATCCAAGGCAAGACCTTAAGGGTTCCACTGACACCCTTGTGTGCCCCATTGTTTGCAGAAGTTTAGAGGCTGCTGGAGGAACCACAGAGGAGACATGCATTTCTCAGAAGGCAAACCAGTAGGATTGCTTCCTGCCATCCTCTCTAGCTTCCCAGATACTCCTTATCAACAGCTTATCTTTCGTCCTCTTCCAGGACAGATGGGCACACAAAGGGATTGCTGGGTTTCAGCCACTCACTGTATTTTTTTCCAAGAAGTCCCATGGAGAAACAATTCCAGAAGCTCTGCTATTTTTTTTTTTGAGCACCCCAGTTCTTTTTGTTATTTTGCTTAGAAGTAAAATCATCTTTTTAAAAACTGTGAATAAAGAGCACCAAGGGATGTATCTATAAAGATACAAGGGTCTGAGATTTCCATGCTGAAGATCCTAACTCTAGCTCTTCTAGAAGCTGAGATACGTAGCATAACTCTTTCTCTGCTGGGTTGAGCAGCCTTGATTCCACAGTGGGACAGACTGTGGAGATCCTTCTAAACCGCCCTCCACTTTTCTTTCTGGTGGCCTTTCCATTTCCGGTGCTTTTGCAAGTCAATGAAAATATTCAAAGTACATTTTGTATTCATGAGTCCTTTCATTAGCAGCCAATGCCTGGACTGCTGTTCCTCAAAGGATCTTGTATTACTTGCACAGTAACTTTCTGGAACTGGCTCAGTTTACTGAGGGTTCAATGGCTGAGTAAGGATTTGAAATCCAAATTAGGTTGCTGTTAGTTACTGTACTTGCTTCCCATTTCACATCCAAGTTAGCTGCCTTAATACTATAAAACGGAAATTGTTTTGGGTCCAGCTCAACTCCTAATGACTACATGGCTGCTGTGACGACATGATTTACCTTTGCCTTTTTCCTGGATTTTTGTTCCCCTAACCCTAACCGAGCCCATTGTATAGCTCTAAGATTTCTTTGATGATCTCCCTTCCAAATACTAACAAG